TCAGCAGGATACCAATTCTAAAAAGAAGTTATCATCACCCCCCAAGGGTAAAGGTAGTGGGAGACGTGGAGGTCGAAAGAGGAATAACAACCAAGCTGCTGAGCGTGTTTCTCGTAGGACTCGAAAGAGGCAAAAGAAGATGGAAGCCTCGGATACTGATTCCGTTGCCAGTGGAAGTCATTCACCAAGTGATGCAAAACATGCGTTGAATCCATGCAAAGAAAATGAAGAGGCTACTTCCCTTTCTGGAAAGCATGTAAAATCTGGGAGCTGTGGGAAGTCTAAGAAGAATGGACTCCTAGTAGAGAACACCAACTATTCTACGAAGGAAGCAGATGGTGATTGTCGGTTAAATGAGGTTGCTTCTGAAATTGCTGCACCTTGTACCGATGAAAAAGAAGAGTTTGTCGGTGAAAATGCATGCATAGAGGAATCAGCTGCAAATAAATCGTGGAAGCCACTTGAGAAAAGCTTGTTCCAAAAGGGTGTTGAGATTTTTGGAATGAATAGGTGAGAATTCCATATGTCTTCATCTGGTTATTCCCCTGACCTGTGACATCTGTCATGAAAATTCCAATTAATCAAGATACGACTTCATTCAGCTGTTGCTGGATTGCCATTTTTTCCCTTCTCCCTCTGGCTTTTAAATTTTTTAATCTAATTATCGTTCTTTGTTTGTGAGCAGCTGTTTGATTGCAAGAAATCTTTTGAGTGGTTTAAAGTCGTGCTGGGAGGTCTTCCAATACATGACTTGCTCAGAAAATAAAGCTTCCTTCCAGGGAAGTGATGCCTTAAATATCAAAGGCGCTTCAAAGTTTGATATGAATGGAACTGTGGTCAGTTTCGTTTGTCTTCTTCCTTGGTAACGAGCTTTTGTTTCTCTTGTTAGCGTTTGCTTTGTTGTTTACTTGTATTTTTTTTTCTTTTGTTGGTGGGTATTAACTAGGCCAATAATCAAGTGAGAAGGAGGTCAAGATTTTTACGTAGACGCGGCAAAGTGCGCAGGTTAAAGTATACTTGGAAGTCTGCTGCATATCACTCAATTAGGAAAAGAATTACTGAGAGGAAAGACCAGCCATGCCGTCAATATAATCCATGTAATTGCCAAACAGCTTGTGGGAAGCAGTGCAGTTGTCTGCTAAACGGTACTTGCTGTGAGAAGTACTGTGGGTAAGTGTTCTCTTATTATCCACTTGTGTAAAAGTTTTATACAGAATGTTTTTCCTTGCCCTTGAATCTTGTAACCAGCACCGTTTCTTGCTTTCTTTCTTCTACTTCTTTTTTTGTATAGATGTCCAAAGAACTGCAAGAATCGGTTTAGAGGTTGCCATTGTGCCAAAAGCCAATGCCGTAGCCGCCAATGCCCATGTTTTGCTGCAGACCGGGAATGTGATCCAGATGTTTGTAGGAATTGCTGGGTCAGGTATGTTTATTGCTGTGATTAGAGACTTGCACTTAATGTGAAGTTTCCTCTCTCCCCTGCTTTGTAATTGGCTCTCGAAACAGACAACACGAGAAGAGTCAAGATGACTGATCAGCATATATATATATGCACAGATATTTTGGCTCTCCTTAACTGAGTCTGAATTCTGATATTGCAGTTGTGGTGATGGTACGCTTGGGGTTCCAAACCAAAGAGGTGATAATTACGAGTGCAGGAACATGAAACTGCTGCTGAAACAACAGCAGAAGGTAACTAACTCTACATGTGCCCACATACTTATAAACTGAAAGTTGGGTAATTTTGTAAAGTGTATATTCGGCCTTTGCATCACATGAGCAAATAACCAAAGGAGTCTTTGTCAACAAGGGATTTTGCAAAAAGCTCTTTTAACATGCAGTTTTCTTCCCGATGATATTCAGGTTTTACTTGGAAGATCCGATGTCTCTGGCTGGGGAGCTTTCTTGAAGGTAACATCGAAGCTGTTACATAAAATAAAATATGCTTTTTACATATCGCATTGAGCTAAAACATTCTTGATCATTCATCCATAACAGAATAGCGTCAGTAAACATGAATACCTTGGGGAGTACACAGGAGAGCTCATCTCACATAGGGAGGCAGATAAACGTGGAAAGATATATGACCGCGAGAATTCGTCTTTCCTCTTCAATCTAAACGATCAGGCACGTCTCTCTTTTTACCTCTCTGACTTGTGTGTTTTTCAGAATATACCATTCACATTACCAGCCACTACTGTATATGTAAAAAAAACTACCTTTTCCGAGTTTCTGCAGTTTGTGCTTGACGCTTACCGGAAAGGAGACAAGCTGAAATTCGCCAACCATTCCCCAGAGCCCAACTGTTATGCTAAGGTAAAAAAAACGGTTACAGTATCACAAACATAAACACAGACAAAACAGTTTTTGTCTCCAGAACCAGAAGGGATTCCATCGTACTGGGCTGGTCATTTTCAGCTCCTGCTAAGACAAAAAATAAAATAAAAATACACACTCATTCTCCTCATGATCTTTTCACGAATTCGGGTGGTGTCTATAGGTCATAATGGTAGCGGGAGATCACAGGGTCGGGATTTTTGCGAGGGAAAGGATAATGGCAGGAGAAGAACTTTTCTACGACTACCGATATGAACCAGACAGAGCTCCTGCTTGGGCCAGAAAACCCGAGTCCTCTGGTTCTAAGAAAGACGATGGTGGTTCCGGTTCTGCTCCTCCTTGGCGTGGAAGAGCCAAGAAGGTTGCTTAGCATAGCTTAGCAGTGGCAATTCTCCATTAACAACCGGAGTGAAGAGAACAACATTTTCCCCTTTTTTGGTTGAATTCTTTCTACAGGTAGTAGAAGCAACAACAAAAAAACATCAAAAGGCCATTCCAAACATTTCAGTCTGCATTTCGGTTTACATTTTTATTCATAATTGAGACTAATCCAATTTCGTTCCTTTGATTCAAATTTCCGATTAATTTACTACGCCCATTTTGTTTTCGTGTTTTGTTGAAACATCTAAAGCGCACACGCAAATCTTAGCCGGTTAAATAGCATGTGCATAAAAACGTTGTTAGCATAACCACTCGCGTGTAGGACACTCTCTCGGAGAGAGCGCGTGGCGTGGGGGGAGAGGTGAGTAAAAAAAAGAGATTGGGAAGATTTGTACTGAGCAGCAGAAATTTAGTGCGTATCTACAAGTACAACTCACCTTCAGTTCTGTCTGTAGAGCATCCAACTAATCATACAAGGACACGTGTCTTGATAAGAAGCCTTGGGAACACAATACCCCATGCGACAACGCCCCACCAGATCAATATCACAACACAGCTTCATTATAATAAAAGAAAAAAGGCCCTTTCTTTTTCTTTTGGAACTGTCTGGTTAAATCTCCACCGTCGGATCAATGGCCTCCTCTGTCATGTGACGTAGGACCGAGAGGGCGCGCATCTCTAGGAACTTCGATTTTCTCTATCCTCTTGAATCGCTGACCGTCCGATTTTGTGGACTCCACACCATAAGAAATTCAAATTTATTAATTAACACCAAAGGATACGCGTGTATGTGAGCGGCATTGGTGACGAAATTATGATCGGTTCGTTCAGTACAAATTAGAACGTTAATGGTAATGTTGAGTTTGGTTTTTCGTCCGAGACTATTATTTGTTTTTTAAATAATTAATTACTATAAGTGTCGGGAGGCTCCGCTTTCACCCTTGCCGTGTCTTGGGTTGTGTGGGGGCCTTTGAGTGGTCTGATGTGTGAGCTATGATTAAGATTCGATTGATCTGATGGTCCCTACCGTATCATATAATATGATATCGAGTTATCAACATCCTCTCAGCCAATAGGAACATGCCATGTCAGCACATACACAATGACTGGTTTCATGCATAATCTAATATCAGAAGATTGACTCGTAATACTTCTCATCCAATGCTTGGGTAAATGCGTTTAATTAGAACGTACGTAGACAACATGAACACCCCCATCTGCCGTATATATATACATATATATTGAGTTCGTTCTTATTCATCGAATACGAAAACTTCTACACTGAAATAAAGGTATTAAAATTGAAAATTATAGAGGGTTACCAGAGAATTAGAGATATCTATTATGAAATTATATTTCTGATAAAATTAAAATTAGTGGATTAGTGTATAGTTTTTTTAATAGGATTAGGGTTTACTGTATACCTATATCTATATACATTATTTGGTTATAAGGTTTTATTTTATAGATTTTGACAAATTACACGATAGTATAAATCATAACTTTTGAATAAATATATATATAAAATTAATATGAGAAAAGGGTGACGTGGGGGGGTGGGACGAGACAGCGAAGTTGGGGATGTTGGATAAGGGGAGGAGGGTCTGTTGGGTATTTGTTTTTGACCGATTCTTGTCTTTCTTTGGACTTTCCATTTCGACATCTCGGTATGGCCTACTTTTGCCTTTTTTTTTTTTTATTAAATTTATTTATCAGAAATCAATAATTAATATATATATATATATATATATATATATTTATTTCGTTTCGTGCTAAAACATATTTCCTTTGCTTCTTATTTTTTTTTCTTTTCATACATTTGAAACTCCACAACGGTCTCGAGGTTTCGGGGAGGTCAAATATAATACATCTCTTGCAAGATTTTATAATAAGATTAGTTTTGAGATGTATAAAACTATAGTAAACACTGACTCTGCATACTATCTAAACCTTATGCATGTTTCAAACAATTAATGATTTTCATATCGTCCATCATTTTCCATGCGAACCGTCATAGTTCGAACCAAATATTATTTATAAAAAAAAAAAAGAGTTAATGATTTTATGAAATGACCATGAATGGGATGTTTACGCTGCTAACCATATACATGGTCATGGATTGGGTAATTCAACGCCACGATCGTTGATTAATAACTGTATGTATTTTCTATTTTATTTTTTCCTTAAAACACGAAACTAGTTATATTTTTTGTTGACAGTAAACAAAATATTGATTTTCGGTACTAACTCTTTGGATGATAAACAACACTAATTCAATATTATAATATTAGGACTCGATAATATCTGTAATTAAATACTTTGCATTGCAATGGTCCAAGATGTTTGATTCACGTAATGATTAGTCTTCAACTCCCATGCATGTAATTGAAAGTACTTCTCGACTTTTGTACTTGTCATGGACGGTGACGTGGACGTAATACGATTTATTTCTTTATTTTTTTTAACACACTTTATTTCATTTCAATGCCATATTTTTTTTCTATGTAACGACGGCCTTGGAAAATTCAAATCCTTTTACGTTTCCTTGTAGAAAAGACGTACCGTCTGTTACAGAAAAAGATGTGCGCCATAAGAAAACGTCGCTTTCCGGTTACTTATGATCTTCTTTCTGAATTTTGTAATTTTAAAAAATAAAATAAACGAATGAAAAAGCGACAGGCTTTTTCGCAAGACCCTTAAATATTTATTTTTGTTACATATATTATATTCTCTTTTAACCTATTCTTTTTGACCGTACAACCGATGGTGCTCGGGTCAGATTCAGACCGAACCCGACACTGGTAAATGCTTTTTTTCTCACTATTAATCTAACAATACGCCCATGCTGGATCCCACGCTTCTACACGTGTGGAATTGTCTATGCACACGTGCCAACGGTCCAATGCAATCATGCGCGGTCATTAATTTTATTTAATTATATCATCTCATTTTGGGAAAATAAAAAGCTAACATGAACCCTAGTGAGAAAAAATACGTTTCTCTGGTTATACGCTGTAATTACAATACCAATCATGATACGAAATAATTGTTGTTCGTGTAATACACATCATTGATGACATCAAAGTTTGATCCAACAGTTGTGGTCCAATAGTTGAGGTGTGATAAAGTCATTCTCATTGGTAAGGAGAGATATAATTTCTGGACCAAAATAGTCTATGTACAAAGGTTGATCCCGGATCTAGGGTGGATATAGTCGCAACGAAGGCCTAGGAAATTATTATGGTTATAAAAAAAATTTATACCAAAGTGGGGATTGGATCAATGGCGCCTCAACAGCGGCTGGCAGAGAAACAAAATTCCTAATGAAGACGTTACTCCAAATAGGGGTGGACACAAATACCCGAAAATCGCGTATTCGTCGGATACTCGTTTCGTGGATACCCGATTTTAGGTACTCATAATTTTCAAATCTAAATCTAAATCCGGATTTTTCAATATCTATGAATCCGAATCCAAATCTGGATAATAGAATTTTTAAAATCGAGTATTCGCGGATACCCGACTAGTATGATTATAAATAATTATATTTTATATTTATATAAAATATAGTTGTTTTAGATCAAATAATTTTATATTTTTAAATATTATCTTAAAAAACTAAATTTATTATTATTTATCTCTTATTCTCTCATATTTTTATCGTAATTCATCTATTTTTATAAATATGTCTTCATTTTTTGAAAATTTTATATATAAATATTATTGTTTTTTCTTAAATAAATTTGGATCCAGATACGCTCGAGTACTCGATCATTATTCCAGATACTCGTATTCCAAATATTTGTAAATCCCAAATCCCGCATATATATCTTATAATTAAATACCCGAACCTTCCGAATCCAAATCTTCAAATATCCCGATTTTTTCCGGATATCCGACTCATGTCCACCCTTAACTCTAAGTAATTGTGTACCAGTTATGGCGAAAAAGAAATAATCGGATCTTCCGAGACAAGAGGAGAACTGTTAAGCATATACGATTGAAGATTGACCGAATCATACGTAATATTTTGCTATCCATCACGAGGAAGACGACGGAGGATAGAGATTCACACCTTACTTCTTGGTATTATTTGAACGCGAGAGATCCGAACTTAGTTTGAATGTGATGTTTTAGAAGAATTTTTACCAATTACTCATGATTCTATAGCCTGTTGTATAAATAAAAGCTTGATTTTGTAATTCTTTGGGTGTAAAATAGAAATCACCTTCGCACAAAAAATAATAAGTTTTTAACGGTATCAAATAAATATATGTCTTTTTTTATAAATTAACTATTAAATGCACGGTTTTGCTCTATTATCGTTCATTATTTTAAATTATTACATAAATTTGAAAGTGCTGATCTTTTATAATAATAATAAAAAATCCAGCATCATGGATGAACACAAAGATATTGCATAAATGGATAATATGTGTTGTACAAGTCATATAAGAAATTATTTCCGCAATTTCCGATTATGGAAATAATCGTGTGCGACACTTAATAAGCTCTGATTAGATGATTAAATGTCTTACAGCTAGCATCAACCCCACCCACGCCGTGACATCACTTCACTTGGGGACATTAATGCAACCCTCCTTGTTTTATTTATTTAAACAAAAGATATTGCGATTTTCATTTCTAATGTTAACCCAAATAAATCTCCGTCTGAATGATTTCTAAGACCATTTTAACGAACTTTACCGTTAGGACATAGCATATAAAATCTCGAATGTTTCATCTTAACGTCCCATGCGGTTACGTACGTGGACGCAAACATAAGTTGCATGAGTTAATTATGACGTCCAAATATTTCCGAACCAATGCGACGTTGTTATTTCCATACACCAGCTAGTAATGAATTGTGGTCCGTAATATCATATTTAATAAAAACACAATTTATACACAACCCTAACATATACATATTTTTTCAAGATGTGTACAATATAGACCCAACAATTGACCGCCGGAGCATAATATAACATCTTTTAACGAATTTGCACGTGAAAAAAAATGCAATATATTATGTTAGTTTTCAGAGATTGATGTAAACATTTATATCTCCGCTACTATATATATATACATTATGATATTTTTCGTCATTAATTCCCAACAGCACACTACTCAGAGTTGGTATTTGGATCATTGCTACTTTAACAAATGGACCGAGAGGAGCATACAAAAATATAAATGGGTTTGTTACCAAATTAATATAAACAATAAAATATACTGAAAAAAAGGGTACTAAGTTTAGTGAGTCTCACGTGCGACCGAGAAAACTTCACCCTTTGCATTGGCGCCGTGACCTGACACCCGCAAAAAAAAAAAGGTGAAGAAGGCTTTTGTTACAGTGACAACGGCTGTCACTTTTCTACTTTCACAGACCAATCATTTTAACCGCTGAAAATTTTCCCACGCCGTGGCTCTCATAGCTGGCGCGTGTACTCACTCTCCCTCTCCTCCATGCCCATATAACCTTGCTTCCTCTGCTATTTCTGCTCTCTAATGATTCACACGCAGAGAGAGAGAGAGAGATGGGAGATAAGAACATGACTTCGTCGTCTTCTCGTTCCTCGGTTTACGACGCTCGTAACCCATCTTCTTCTTCCGACGAAATCTCGCAGTTTCTCCGGCAGATTCTCGTCCGCTCTT